AATAAAAAAGATTAGGCATGGTTAACACAAAATACAATATATGATTAACTGCCAAATAAATGATCTGGATAGTAATTGCATTAGTTCCAAAAGAGACATCCCTGCAAATAAAATAATCACAAATAAGACACCGCACAAGGCGAGACTTAAACCTCAGTCAGACTGGGACTTTTCACTGACAAGCTACTGTGAATGCATCACTGTGGTGGACAGAAATTCAAACATTCCCCTGGAATATGGGCAGGACCTGTGATGTGCCTCTAACCAACAGATTATAACAAAGATGATGGGACATCACTTCTGTGATTGTGTTACATTACAGAAGACTCCGTATTGTTCTCTGACTCACTTACTCATGGAAGCAAGCTGCCATGCTGTGAGGGCTTACACAGAGGGCCACATGACTAGTTCCTTGGAGCTGAGGGTGGCTTCCAACCCTCACTCCATCTTACAACAAATCAAACACCCTTAGTGAGTTTGGAAACAGATCAATGGCCAGTCAAGACTCCAGATGAGAACTGAGCTCTGGTCAACACATGGGTTGAAGCCTTGCAGTGGGCACAGCTTACCCACAGAATCTATCCTATATAATAAAAGGCTAATACGCAAATTGTCCCCTCGGGTGATTGACCAGGAGTTTTATTGCTCACTATGACATGCACTGATCACCAGGGGGTGGCACGGAATGAAGGAAGGCCCATGCCGGCAGCCGAAGGACCCAATCAGCCCTGATCGCTGGCCAGGCCTAGGGACCCTACTTGTGCACGAAATTCGTGCACCGGGCCTCTAGTTATGTAATAAATGTGTGTTGGCTTAAATTGCTAAATTTGTGACAATTTGTTCCATGGCACAGAAAATTAATACAACTTTCCCTTCTATTTTCAATTCAAAAGCTCCACATTTACCATGTTTTGTGTAGTGTTTGCCCCTTTAATTGTGCTATTATTACTTCTGTTGAGTTTAAAGAAATATGAACTCTGGAACTGTAGAACAGGGCAGAGAATCCATGTAACAGGAGATCAAATGTCCCAGTCTGCCTAGAGAGTGTATGCCAGTTGTCATCATGACATAAGTAACAGCACATCTTTTCACTCCCAAAGAGCCCCAGTTTAGACAATAAATGACCATTCAGCCCTATATTCATTCACCTTCTACATATTAATCATTATCTTTCTGGAGAAAACCAAGATGGTGGCATAGGTAAACACTGGAGTTAGCTGCCTCAAACAACCACTTCAAAAATACAACTAAAAGACGGAACGGACATCGCCCAGAACCACAGGAAGACTGTCTGAGGGGAAATTCTTCAACTAGAAGGAAAGAGAACAGCATAGGAGACTCAGAGGAGGTGCAGTGCGGAAAATACAAAGGTGCGGAGGTACGCGCGGAGCGGGCTGGTAGCTGAGGGCGCGGTTGTCGTTTTCAATCGGGAGGGAGTCTCAGATTCTGAGCTCCAGTTCTGGGCGAGTCTCTAGGGACCCAGACTTGAACGGGAGAAGAGGGACTGTCTGGCATCGGTCAGAACACGAGGGCAGCTTTCTCTCAGAGGTTTGCAGCGGTTGCTGGGACTCTGAGAGGCAGAGCCTCTGGGGACGGGCCTGAGAGCAGCCATAACTGCTCCCTCCACCCGCTCTGTTGATCCCGTGCGACCCGCCCCGCCCAAGCCCTGCGAAGAGCCATTTGCCAGATAGCCTCAGGCAAAGGCTAGATTAGCACCTCCCTAGAGGACAGAAGTTTTCCCACTGCAGACACAGCTGATTCTCACAGCCAGTTGGCCTGGAGGTCAAATCCCCCTAGTATTAACTACAACGATCAAGGCTTAACTGCAACAAGACTGCGCACAAAGACCACTAGGGGGTGCACCAAGAAAGCATAAAAAATGCGGAGACAAAGAAACAGGACAAAACTGTCAATGGAGGATATTGAGTTCAGAACCACACTTTTAAGATCTCTTAAGAACTGTCTAGAAGCCACCGATAAACTTAATGAAATCCTCAAGAAATCTAATGAGACCCTTGATGTTATGATAAAGAACCAACTAGAAATTAAGCATACACAAACTGAAATAACGAATATTATACAGACACCCAACAGCAGACCAGAGGAGCACAAGAATCAAGGCAAAGATTTGAAATGCGAAGAAGCAAAAAACACCCAACCAGAAAAGCAAAATGAAAAAAGAATCCGAAAATACGAAGATAGTGTAAGGAGCCTCTGGGACAGCTTCAAGCGTACCAACATCAGAATTATAGGGGTGCCAGAAGATGAGAGAGAGAAGATATTGAAAACCTATTTGAAGAAATAATGACAGAAAACTTCCCCTACCTGGTGAAAGAAATAGACTTACAAGTCCAGGAAGCGCAGAGAACCCCAAACAAAAGGAATCCAAAGAGGACCACACCAAGACACATCATAATTAAAATGCCAAAAGCAAAAGACAAAGAGAGAATCTTAAAAGCAGCAAGAGAAAAGAAACTCAGTTACCTACAAGGGAATACCCATACGACTGTCAGCTGATTTCTCAACAGAAACTTTGCAGGCCAGAAGGGAGTGGCAAGAAATATTCAAAGTAATGAATGCCAAGAACCTACAACCAAGATTACTTTATCCAGCAAAGCTATCATTCAGAATTGAAGGTCAGATAAAGAGCTTCACAGATAAGGAAAAGCTAAAGGAGTTCATCACCACCAAACCAGTATTATATGAAATGTTGAAAGGTATCCTTTAAGAAGAGGAAGAAGAAGAAAAAGGTAAAGATACTAATTATGAACAACAAATATGCATCTATCAACAAGTGAATCTAAGAATCAAGTGAATAAATAATCTGATGAACAGAATGAACTGGTGATTATAATAGAATCAGGGACATAGAAAGGGAATGGACTCACTATTCTTGGGGGGGAAAGGGGTGTGGGAGATGCGGGAAGAGACTGGACAAAAATTGTGCACCTAGGGATGAGGACAGTGGGGGCGGGGGGGTAAGGGCAGAGTGTGGGTTGGGAACTGGGTGGAGGGGAGCTATGGGGGGAAAAAAAGAGGAACAATTGTAATAATCTGAACAATAAAGATTTAATAAAAAAAAAATCATTATCTTTCCAGACAAGATCATCTTATTCTTTTCATTTGCTCCAATTGCATTCATATCTCTAATCATTACAGTTAACATTTTGCTAAATTTTTCCCAGATTGATGATTTCTATGGCAAAGATGTTCAGCATACAGATCAAAACACAATACTTACGTGCAAATACACTTAATAGAGTTTGCCTTACCCTACCTCTGAATGGAGTATTTTCAGTTCCTATAATATTACATTCCTACAACTATGAGAAGTTTCCTACAGTTTATGCTACATACTTGTATAAAATTACTTCAAAAATAGTCATTCATATAAACTGGTAATACCTGAAATTTCTTTAGAAATAGAGAGCTCTCTCTTATAGCAATTTCACATATTCAAGTCCCACTTTAATTATTTTACATAGGTAGGATAAAAATAAATGTAGATAAAGTCACTCTGGCTGGGTGGTTCAATTGGTTGGAGCATCCTTCCATACAATTGTGGGTTCAATTCCCAGTCAGGGCACATACCTAGGCTGCAGGTTTGATCTCTAGTCGGGGCACATGCAGGAGGCAGCCAATTGATGTTTCTCTCTCTAAAATCAATAAAATCATATCCTTGGGTGAGGATTTTAAAAAATGTAGGTGAAGTCATATATATAAGTACTTGCCTATACTGATTCATGTATTTACAGGGTGGGGCAAAAGTAGGTCTACAGTTGTTCATATGAAAAATAACACAATAATAATACAAGAATATACTGTTTTGAGTACTCACAACTGTAAACCTACTTTTGCTCCACCTTGTATTTTAAAAGCATTATCTTCTATGTACTAGGTACTATGCTAAGGATATGGGATACAAAGTCAGCTTACTTCTACAGAAAAGGAAATTGAGGTTCTGCCTTTGTTGTTCACAGACTACTTGCTGATTACCCTGTAATAAGGTAATACAAATTATTTTCCACTTGCAAATATATTACTAGTGTAGATACATTAAAAATCACAATATGCAATATAAAAGCTTTTTACAAAACCTATTTGAAGTTTCTCATCTAATACAATTCTAATCTCAAAAATTGAGTTCTTTTATGTTTTGTGTGGGGCATAATAGAGAAAAAGTAGAAAAATTCACGTACTGTCCCTTAAAATTAAAGACAGTGGGAGTGACTTGGAGGGAACATAATAGTAGCTTCAGAAGTGCTGATAATATTGTATCTTAATATTGGAGCTGGTTGCATAGGTGTATTTAGTCTGAAAATTCATTGAGGTTTTCACTTAATGTTAAGCAAATCAATATTTATATATATAAGAGCCTAAGCGACCATTATGACGGAATAACCAGAACAATCAATGACCGGCTGGTAGCTATGACGCGCACTGACCCAAACCTTGCTTCTGGGGTCGTGACAGCTCCGAATCTGATTCACCCACACCCCGGACCCAGAAAGGAGGACCCCACCCATGCACGAATTTGTGCACCGGGCCTCTAGTTATGAAAACACAAAAAGTCCAAAGTTTAGAATATGAAATCTTAGATCTACATCAACAAGGACTATTAATCAAATAATTTTTAATGCTTATTATGTACTTATAGGCCAAATAGGCTCAACAACAATAATAGGTACCATTTAAAAGTATCTATCATGGGCAAAATACTATACCAGGTACTTTACATACATGATCTATTTTAATTTCAAAACAACCCTTTTAGATATTATCCTAATTTGACAGATAACAAAATTAGCTATTTGAATCCTTAAAAGATTGAAAACTTAATTAATGCTATTCAGTCTTCATATGTAAATAAAGTAATATCTAAATATAATAAACTCACTTTAAAAGATTTTTTAACTTGAGCCCTAGCCGGTTTTGCTCAGTGAGTAGAGCTTCAGTCTGTGGACTGGAGGTTCCCAGGTTCGATTCTGATCAAGAGCACATGCCCGGGGTTGCGGGCTCAATCCCCAGTAGGGGGTGTGCAGGAGGCTAAATCAAGGAAGAGAAAAGTATAATTCAAGACTACAAAGAGAAGGCTCTTAATCCCTAGAGAGGAGAAATACATTTATCAGAAGTTTCCAGTCCCTGACTATCCTTGTCTTAAAGTGACACTACTACTGTGTTGGCCAGACCTTTCCCAGCCTTTTCCCTCCCCTTTCCACTCACCCTGAAACTGTCCTAAATTCTGACTAGGGATTTTCACCTGTAGTAAGAAGAGAATGTATAGGCAAATCAAGAGAGGTACTATGTTACTGAAACTCATTCTGCTGATATAGGGAATTTCATACCTTGTGATTATGAGTTTAGTCAGCCATGAAAATAAATACAGGGTTCCCAGCAGACACCTAAAGAATTGAAGAAGGGAACTAACATTTACTGAACTGGATACCTGATATGCACTATCTTATTTACTCCTATCAACAAACCTTAAAGCAGTATTTCTAGACAAGCAGCTGAGTATGATAGTTATAAATCAAGACTCTGAATCCAAATCTCAGGGACCTGGATCCCCACTCTAACAGTTTCATTGCCATATGATGTGGGGGGAAAAATCCTTCAGCTATTTGTGCCTCAGTTTTCTTATCCATAAAAGATAACAACAGTTCCAACCTCACAGTGTTGTTGTGGAAACTGAGTGAGTTGATATGGGTAAAGAGCTGAAAATAATGCCAGGCAGACAGTAAGTACTGCCTAATTTTTACACATTATTTTTGGCCCATATAATAGACAGAACTCAAGAATTTAAAGTAATTTGCCCCCAGCTGTAACTAATAAATGGCAGTGGGGAAACCTAAACACAGGTCTCTGGTCAAATGCAGAGTTCCCACTCTTAACTACACCTACCTTCCCCTTCCTCCCCAAATATGGGGCTCTCCTCAAATAACTATGAAAGTATAAGGTATTTCCCAGTGAGTTTCCTTCTTGAAGAATGACAGGTGGCAAAAGATATGAAATTCTGAGCCACACTCTTCTCCATATGGCGACAGTAGCCCTATGAATGAACTATTTGCCATAATATTACTGACCTATAATAACCATCAGTGCTGAACCATTTGGCTAAGAAACTGAATTTATGGGAAAATGAATGATGAGCTCCAATCAACTAACATAAACTGGCTCCTACATAACTTCAATTTAATTACTATGTTGAACCAATTCATTTAGAATCTGCTCATCACTGTGAAATATCATGATCTTAGATTAGTTCCCCTACAGTACTTATCACTTTAAAGGGCTAGTTGTCCTAAGGTCCCTTTTAACTCCAAAACTCTATAAACCTGTAACATCAAACTTTTGTTATCAATAAAGAAAATGAGAAACAATGAAAATAAATTGGCCCTCAAGAGGTTACAGAATAAAAGGAGATAGGATGGGGGAAAAAAATCTGTTGAGAGCACTAGCATTAATAACTAATTCAATCACCCACAGAACAGTTAAAAGGGTATTTACTAGTAATGACTCAAATTTTGTTTTAAAAATGTTTGCCATATATTCTAAAGGCCAGGATAACATACACAAACATGTTATCAATTACTAGTAACTAATGTATTATAGTTGACTTTTAGTATTTTTTACACATTTCTATCCATTTCAAACATATATTCCTTTTATAACCAATAAACAATTAAATTTCTTATTAAGTACCCATGTAAGTAAAAAAAAGAAAATTACATTGTTGTAAAAGGTTGGAGGGTAGAGGTAGGGAGGGGATTGAGCAGGTACAAAGATGGAAAAGGGGGAACAAAATCAATCAGTTAGTTAACTACATCCACTACTGGAAAATGTCAGCCATTATTAGATTAATACAAAATTAAGTATAAATTCCATCACTGTGGAGGTCTGATACTGACTTATAAGTGAGGTTATAGAAACTAGTTAAAAAGATAACTAACCAATTGCTACTCCCCTTTAAAAAGTCAGTACCTTAGGTCCTTACCTTGTTTCTGAAAGGACTTAAGATGACAATATTTCTTTAACCTACCATCTGGTATGGGTTGAACTGTGCCCACCCCCTAAAAAAAGGATATACTGAAGTTATAACTCCCAGTAGCTCAGAATGTGACCTTATTTAGAAATAGGGTCTTCACAGAAATTATGAATTTAAAATGTGGATATTAAGGTGAGCCCTAATCTAATGAGTGGTGTCCTTATAAAAAGGGATAATTTAGACACAGACACAAAGGAGAGACAATGTGAAAAGATACAAGGAAAGATGGTCATCTACAAGCCAAGGAATCCCTGAGGCTGTTAGAAGCTGGGAGAGAAGCCTAGAATAGATCTCTCTTTAGTACGTTCAGAGAGGGCATAGCCCTGCCAACACCTTGAATTTGGACTTCAGGCCTCCAGAACTGTACGACAATAAATTTCCCTTGTTCTAAGCCACCTAGTTTGTAGTACCTGTTTCATAAGCCCTTAGGAAACTAATACACCATCCTATAAACTCTATGCAGCTGAACAGCCTCATGTTGACTGCCTTTTAAAAGAGCTAGCAGTGAACAATTTTGTTTGTAGAATAAACCCACATATAACTTTTGACTCCCCAAAAACGTAACTACACTTGTCCTTCTGTGTCCACAGGAAATTGGTTCCAGGATCCACCCTGGATACCCAAATCCGTGGATAGTCAAGTCCCTTATATAAAACTAGAGGCCCAGTGCACGAGATTCATGCACTCAAGGAGGGGGGAGGAGGCCCCTCAGCCCGGCCTGTGCCCTCTTGCAGTCCGGGAGCCCTCGGGGGATATCCAACTGACGGCTTAGGCACCGTCCCCATGAGCCGTGAGCCCGGCTTCTGGCTGAGCGGCGCTCCCCTTGTGGGAGTGCACTGACCACCAGGGGGAAGCTTCTGCATTGAGCATTTGCCCCCTGGTGGTCAGTGCGCATCATAGCTACCAGTCAGCCAGTCAACCGGTAGGCTGGTCACTTAGGCTTCTATATATATATATATATATATAGATGGCACAGAACAACGCATATAGTCAGCCTCCACATCCTCAGATTCCCAACCACGGACTTAGAATACTGGTTTTAATCCACAGTTGGTAGAATTCAGAGATGTGAAACCTAGAAATAGGGAGGGCTGCTTAGGTAGTTATTAAAAAAAATGTGCATGTAAGTGAGGCAGCACAGTTCAAACCAGTGTTGTTCAAGGGTGAACTGTACAGCACAACTACTAATCTGCAGGTACAATATACTAGTATAACTTATGTAAGGAATTTGTACTGTTATTTCATTTTAGTTTGAGTCCAATTTTCTTATGAATGTCTTCTATGAAAATGTTTGTAATATTTAACTATAGTAATATATTCTCAGTTAAGACATAACAAACCTAAATTAATGTAATCATTCTAACGTATAAAGTTGATATATTATGCTATAACTGAAATGTCAAAACAAAAACAATACTTCGAACTAAAAGGTATAGGTTTAACATAAGCTAGAATTTAATATATGTGATGAGAACAAAGAGACCCACAAACAGACACATGATAATAAAAATGCTGAACATCAAAAACAAATAGAAAACCTTGAAGCAACAAGAAAGAAAGGGTAAGTCACTTATAAGGGACTACCAATAACTGACTTCTCAGCAGAAATAATGCAGTTAAAGGAAGTGGGGTAACATATTCAAAGTACTCACAGAAAAAAAAACTGTCAACCAAGAATACTAAATCCATGAAAGCTTTCAAACTAAATGTGAAATAAATAAAATAAAATAAAATAAAATAAAACACCTGACAATTTTTTGCTAGCAGACACATCTTATAAGAAATACTAAAGGAGGTTATTCAGGCTGAAAGCAGGTGATCTCGGCAGTAATTCAAGTCCATTTGAACAACAACTAAAAGAGAACCTGTAATGATAATTATTTCCCTAAAAAGAACACTATCAATACTTTTTCCCCTTCTTTCCTCTCTTAACCAATTTAAAAAGAAACTGTGCAACATTATATGTGTGTATATAAGGTATTACTCAGCCTATAACATATATAAATGTAATTTATATGTAACATATTTACTGATAACAACACATGAGATGATTAAGAACAAAGCTGTATTGGGCTTAGGAAACAGAGATGGTAAATTACTAATTACAACAATGTATTGCTTGTTTTCTAACATTAGCAGGTGTAATATGAATAAAAATGCCACAAAAGGGGGGGGGGAGCTTATAGTATTCAAACCTCAAGTTCACTTTTATAGTCTTCAATATAAATGATAGTTGTGTAGATAAAATGGACATATATTCGTGTAAATATATAGTGACAGCATGTAACTATTGTGTTGTTTCAAATAAAATATTTTCTGTAAAATCTAGTAACAATAAACTACTACAAAAATGAAAATGGCAAGAGTGAATAACTCACCTGTGTAAGAGCAGAAAGTTGTACTACAATCTGTTAACTGGTACAGTAGAGTTACAATTTTTATGTTTGAGGATTCAACAGACAACCTTCCCCTTTCTAGAGACAATCCTTGCAAAGCTCATATACCCACGTTTCTGATATTTCAATGCCATGAATTTAAGTCTCATCTCCCCAGTAAGACCAAATCTTCTTTAAGAAACTGCTCTTGTGCTCTGGCCAGTATGGCTCAGTTGTGAGGATTGCCCCATGCACTCACTGGTTGGAGCACAGGGGCAGAAGGCAGTCAATGGATGTTTCTCTCTCGCAACCCTCTCCCTCCCTCTTTCTCTAAAATCAATAAAAACATATTTTTAAAAAAGAAAGAAACTGCTCTTGTGCCCAATTCACCTAGCACAGTACTAAATAGATTTACTGGTTCTTCTCTTTAGCATGTCTCTTCTTAATCTTCCCTATTCTCTTGATTTTCCTCTAAACTCATAAGCAAAATGTGAAAAATAAAATTCCTAAATGTCCAGGTTTTTGTTTCAATCTACTTCTCTTAAATTTACTGAGCTATCAAATCTAATGATGAAAGTTGTTTAATAACTGCAAAACAAAAATCATTTGAGAGCTGGCAATCCTAAAGTTAGAATTTCTTCTAATAATTATCTTTAAACATGAAAAATCTCACATCCTACAAGAATCTCCCTATCTTTCCACTTTGCATAAGAAATATCCCAAGTAACCTTTCCCATCCTTTCTTCCTGAGGAAGCACAAAGTCTGAGGACAAACATTACTGAGACATTAAACTACATAAGCAATTTTAATAACTAAACTCTTAAATATTTGCTAGTTGTTTCATTCACAATCTCACCTCCTCTCCAAAACCCTTTCTCCTTCTTCATCTTCCATAAAATACTTTTCAAATCCCACCCAGCTCCCTCTCCACCACTCCCAAAAGCCCTCTTCTCCAATGGGCCCAGACTTCCAAGTGTCATCCTGTCTTCCATGTAAGCATCATTAGCACTTAGCTATCAAGTCTGCATCACTCACTGCTCACTTTGTTATGTACAAGCCTGGTCTTTCCAAATAGATTGCCTTTAAGGACAAAAACTGAAAAACCTTTGCATATCTAGTGTCTGGTACAGATCCCTATTTACTGAACATTAATTGATACTGATTGTAAAAATGGACCTGATTGCTCCATTGATGTGATGGGATGACTTGTAAAGATATTTGAAGTCCTAACCCCCAGAACCTCAATTATTTGGAAACAGTAATCAAGTTAAAAGGTCATGCTGGGCCCTATGTAAAGGGTCTTCAGCTCGCCGAAACCGGTTTGGCTCAGTGGATAGAGCGTCAGCCTGCGGACTGAAAGGTCCCAAGTTCGATTCCGGTCAAGGGCATGTATCTGGGTTGCGGGCATATCCCCAGTAGGAGATGTACAGGAGGCAGCTGATCGATGTTTCTCTCTCATCGATGTTTCTAACTCTCTATCTCTCTCCCTTCCTCTCTGTAAAAAATCAATAAAATATATTTTAAAAAAAAAAGGGTCTTCAGCTCACTTTGCCACATCTACTGCAAGAATGAAGACCATTCTCAGCAATCAGACTGTGGACATCTCAGACAATATCAATATCACTCTGAAGGGACATACAGTTATTGGGAAGGGCCCCAGAGGGACCCTGTGGGGGGACTTCAACCACATCAATGTAGAACTCAGTCTCCTTGGAAAGAAAGAGGCTCCGGTTAACCAATGGTGGGGAAAAAGGAAAGAAAGGGCCACCATTTGCACTATCTGCAGTCATGTACAAAACATAATCAAGGGTGTTCCATGGAGCTTTCATTACAAGATGAGATCCGTGTATGCTCACTTCCCCATCAAAGCCATTGTTCGCTTGTTGAAATCAGAAATTGGGCGAAAAATACATCCACAGAGTTCAGGTGTTGCTTGTTCAACTTAACATGTATCATATGTTGCTTGTTCAACATAATATATATCAAGCCCAGATATATTTCACTTAACATATATCAAGCCCAGAAAGTTGAGTGGATTTTTGAAGGAAATGACATTGAACTTGTATCAAATTCAGCTGCCGAAACAAGGATATCAGGAAATTTGGAGATAGTTCCTATTGTTTCTGAAAAAGGAATAGTTCAGTAGGCTCATGAATAAGATATAAGTTGTCCAAAAAAAAAAAAAAAAGAAGACATGTTGTCCAGCTATAGAAACAGCAAGATGTTGAATGATTCCTTAGATTCATTTGCAATATTTAAAAGATGCAGTAAAAGCCATGTATTGATTGGGAGAGGGAGAGGGGTCCTTAAAAAAGGAGGAAATTTGGACACAGAGACAGACATGCACAGACAGAAAACAATGTAAATCCAAAGAGACACAACAGAGGCAGAAGATGGAGTGATACATCTAAATGCCTAAGATTGCTAGCAAACCACCAGAAGCTAGGAGAAAGGCAGAGAACAGACTCTTCTTAGAGGACCTTCAAAGGAACCAACTCTGCCAACTCCTTCATTTTGAACTTCTGGACTCCAGAATTGTGAGACAATAAACTTCTGTTATTTTAAACTACACAGTTTTTGCTACTTTGTTTTGGAGCCCTGGGAAATTAATATAATTGATGTTTATGAAAGTGAAACAGTATTACAAAATCAAACCTTCCTAATATGATAGATACTAAAGATAATAGAGAATTAAAATGAGCCCAGTCTGACCTAGAATGAAGCAGCATAAGGACAAAGGAAAATGTCCATGACACATTAAGTGAAAGAGTAAGTTGCCAATAAATTTGCAGATTTTATTTGGGGGTAGGAGGAATAGCAAACCCATAATATCAAGTTTGCATTATACACAGGAAATGTCTAACCACACAAACACATACATACAAACTCTTAACAAGCAATTCATTCTTTAAAAGTCTTTGTAGTAGGAGGATTTTTCTTACTTCCCATAATTTTGTACTTTTAGAAAAATAAGTGGTTGATTTTTTTAACTTTTTTAAAATGTAGAATTCAAAGAAACTGTTTCCAAAAGGTAATCAGATGTTGTATTATTTTTTAACAATACATGCAGTTAAACCTGAGTGATTTAATTCATTTTTTTTGTAGGAAAATAGTGTTTTATTTATTTTTTAAAATTTATCTTTATTGTTGAATGTATTAAAGATGTCCCTTTTTTCCGCCCCATTGATCCTCTCCCTCCCCACTCCTGTCCCTTCCCCAGGCCTTCCCCCCACTATTATCTTGTCCATGGGTTATGCGTATAAGTTCTTTGGTTGATCTCTTCCCTGCACCCCACCCCACCCCACTCCCGCCTTCCCTCCGAGAATTCTCAGTCTGTTGCATGTTTCCATGTCTCTGAATTTATTTTGTTTGTAAGATTATCTTGTTCGTTAGATTTCACGTATAAGTGAGATCATGTGATACTTGTCTTTCTCTGACTGGCTTATTTCACTTAACATAATACTCTCCAGGTCCCTCCATGCTGTTGCAAAAGTTAAGAAAGCCTTCTTTTTTACAGCTGCATAGTATTCCATTGCGTAAATGTACCACAGATTTTTTATCCATCCATCTACTGATGGGCACTTGGGCTGTTTCCAGATCTTAGCGATCTATATATATAAAAGGCTAATATGATAAGTGTCCCTCTGACCGTCCGATCAGTCGCTATGATGCTCACTGACCACCAGGGGCAGACGCTCAACGCAGGAGCTGCCATGACGCACACTGGCCATTTTACAAAGAAACGGAACCGCAGACCTGGCGCCAACAAAGCAACACTCGGCTTCCCCCAAGTAGGACACAGGTCCCACCACCACCCCGGAGCAACAGCCCACCAAATCGCAGCCAATGCTGCTGAAACCCCATGGCACAAAATGCGGCCCACAGCCCAGCCCAGCCTGGAAACGGTCACTGTGGGCACCGGGTAATGACATCACATAGCAACGCCCGGCTTCTTCTCCCTAGTGACCAGCCTCCTTGGAGTTTCTTCAGCCCAGGAACACAACTTGCTTTATAGCCAGGTGCAAACATTTTACACTTTAACCAAATGTCTGTGAAGCATTTTCCCATGCCTCATCTCATTTGATCCTCACAGAAGTCCTGGAGTAGGTAGAAAGGAGACTCGGTAGAGTCCTGTATTTTCTTTTCATTAGCTAGAAAATGGAGATTTAGAAAGTTTAGAAACTTGACCCGACTGAAAAGAAGTAAGAAATGGTGGACCTTGAAAATGACTTCAGGTTTTCTCACTGCACAGAATATAGTCAAACACTGCTGCAGTTAAATATTTCACCCTTTGTTCTCCCTGCGAGATTTACAATAATAATCTGCTTCGTGTTGATATTTACTGCTGTGTTGCTGACAATTACCTGAAAGAGAAGTTCGGGTGCTTCACTGAGCTGGCTGGAAAAAGTTTAGCTAAATCAGAAAGCAGGTCTAATTAAGCAAGTTTATTCTATATCTATAAAAGGCTAAGTTGACTGGCACATGCATGATACATATAAAGCTCTCACTGGCGCCAACCACATGCGTGTGTTTCGATCTGTCATTGTTGATTGTGAATTTGGTTGACACCTCTATTACAGAGAAAGGACGAATTGCGATATTAAAATATTTCTAATTAATTTCCTTTCAATGTGCACAAATCCATGCACCGGGCCACTAGTTGTAAATAACGCTGATATTTCAAGTCCTCAATTTGATAATTCAAAGCAATTCATTAATTGCTGAACTATAAAGGCATATCTAGCACTCCACTTCTAATAGCAACCATGTTATTGTATTTCAGAGGCAGTATTAAACATACAGTTTTCAAAATGACAGAAGGAAAATAATATAACATTTACCAACCATATCTGTCAGACATATAATTCTGGAGGTTTTACAAATGTTCCATCATTGAATTTCATTTCTCTACTGAGCCACATTTATTCATTCAGCCTTCTCTTTGTTCCAGTCATGCAACATTTACAAAGGGTCTTATTAACTTTGATGTCAACCAAAAATGTCCTCAAATATCTGAATTCTCTGTAATAATCCACTCTACATTTATCATCTACAAATTTACCTAACTCCAAACCCTTCTACAACTTAATTTTTGAGATATCAATTTGTAAAGTACCTCACAAATGCACAAAGCAGGCACTCAATAAATGTCAGATCTCTATATAAGATCCTTGAGAAAGCTGAAATTACAGAAGTCACATTTAATTGTACAAAGTCTGCTAAGATGACCCAAGTCATCATTAACACAGAATAGCAAAAAAACATCACAATAAAGCCAGGCTCTTAGCACTAAAACGGCGTAATAACTACAACTCGGTTCCAGGAGTGAAAAAAGATGGTTAGTAATTAAAGCAACTAATGTCTGGGGTAGAAAAGTGCAACAAGCAGAAAAAAGGCTTTAAGTACACAAGGAAGCAAAAACCACTCAAAGGGCAGGGCCACGAAATGCCGGGAAGGAGCAGTGACCTGAGCAAAGGCAACCACACATCCACTAGAGATGAGGTCCTCATTTCTTTACTCCCAAATTCATGAAAACATCTACAAGCCAATGTGTTGCAGCTTTTGTTTTTTTCTTCCATTTTATACAAAAAAATATGGAGATTTTATTTTCTTCCTAACTTCTAAGCTTTCTGTGTGTTTGTGTGGCTTTGAGTCACACACAGTTACTTCACTTACTAATTATTTGTACTTGGCTAGACCAGGTACCTGATTTCTACTATGAAGTGGAATAATAATTTCCACATTAGATGAAATGAGAGAATACATGTGAAAGTCTTTTGTACCGCACATATAAATTAAAACCATTCTTATATGATTACTAGAGACCCAGTGCGCAAAATTTGTGCACAGATAGGGTCCCTAGGCCTGGCCGGCGATCAGGGCCAATTGGGGCCTTCCTTCATTCTGGTGGTCAGCGTACGTCATAACAAGCGATCGAACTCCCAGGCTCCCAGTCGAACTCCCAAGGGGACACTTTACATATTAGCCTTTTAGGTATATAGATTATTGGCAGAATTCCTGGTCCACATTAGGAAAGGATAGAGGTACATTAAGATACTATGAACTGTGGAAGTTATAACAGGACTCACAAGTTACCTTTGTCACTTACGTAGTCATTTAAAGGTTTGAAAATAAGTATTTTAGTGATCCTGGTCTTAAGATGCTCTGGTCATTAATGAAGCTAAGTTTAGGATTACTTCTTTTTTAATCTAATGTGTTAGGAATTTATGGTTAATGGAACTTTTTTTCCAATCTGTGAAAGTGGGCTATTACCTGAGCTCCCCTAGCTCTAAATGGATCATGGCGATGACAGACATGAGAAAAAGATTATGAGACTAACAACCAAAAGGGACTAAGTGCTTTTGAAGTATCTCAAAAAGTAATCTACATATGTA